GCGTAAACTCGCGTTTCGCTAAAGTTTCAGAAGCAGAAATTGCCTTTAAATGGCTTCCTTTTAATTTTGTCGATATCATTTCGTGTGTATATACTAAAACAATTATTCTTTTCAATCTCGGCGAATAGTGGCTGGAAAAATCACTATATGAGTTAACGTCGCTGTATCAAGGAAACCCAGTTCAGTTGAAAATACACCCATTTCGAGGGAGTGAAACCATCAAACATTTTTAGATTGTAGGTTGTCAAAGCACTTTAAACTTACAATTGATCTTCTAAAGGATTTGAAGCCAGCTAGCATTATTGGGAAGCAATACAAGGTACCTTTTGGCTAGAATTCATGGCCTAAAATTTCGTCTGCAAAATCTAAAGAGAAGAAATTTTTTTTTAAACTGTCTTCATATACATCCTAATTTTTTCGTCCAGTGAATTTAGGACTAGATAGTTCACGAGGTCCACGTAAGTTATCGGTGGAAAATCGCTAACATTTGACGATCATTCCTTATTTGCGATCCCAAACGGATCAATGTTGTCTATACGAGCTATTTTTTGCAAATATTTCTCTTTATCGAGGGGATCGAGCGTTGAAAAGTAAGTTTTTTTCGCAGACATGGTCAGAATCGCTTGTTAACACTGGAAGACCTGACTAAATGTTATGTTACATGGCATATTGCTGCTTGTTGCCTTAGTTGTGCTACAAATACTGGCTCTCAACTTCTCATGGAATCCCTACACTGAATGATGAAATAGAATTGAGAATTAAACGAGACTTACCTGTAAGTTGAAGTTTGATGGTAATTCTATGGAGTCATTATGAAGTGTAACGGATCACATGCCCACCCTTCTACTGCGAACCCACTCGTTCTCAGACCTACTATTCAGCATTTGTTCGTCTTTAAAACTTGATTTCTGGGATTGGATTGTGCAATCTCATGTGATCCCTTACAGTGGAGATATCGATGAGCAACTGGTCGACAACTTTCGTGCCGCCATTGCCAGCATGTGTTTCGGTCATGACTGATTGCAGCCTATTGTGACCATATGCAATACACCAATCCAAAATTTCTATCGCAAACTTATCTAGTTTAAGGAAATGTAGCTGATTGACTAATTTCGTACCTGGTCAGCTAGTTTCTAATCGCAGAGAACTCGACATATAGGCAGCGGGCGTGTTGCGAACTTGACCGGGGCATAGTTAGTAGAGGTTCCCCTCTACGAACTATGACCGGGGCGAACTTGGCATGTAACGAAACCAGCGTTAATCGTACATGCTCGATTGTGCCTAAGTTTTGTATTTTTTTTTTTCATACTCGGCTGTCCCCACTGAAACCCACAAGTGCTTAATGTTTCTATATCTACTATTCCTCGCACAAGTTCAGTCATCGAATCTTCGAGCTCAGATATCGATCTTACCCATTTCTTCGCCGTTGTCATCGCCATCTTCCGCTTTCGGTGGCGTTTTCAGTTGCTGGACATACTTTGCTGCACCACTTATATCTTGGTGTGGCTTTGGAAGTAGCTCTATGGCTTCGTCGTCGCTTTGCGTTTCGTCGCCACGTTTCCGCTTTGAACTGCGTGTTACCATTGACGCCATTGTGAAACTGAAGTACGTGCGTGGTTCGTGGCTGCTGAATAGCTCTTTTTCAGCTTCACACGTCATCGACTGGTAACATGATACAAACAAGTATCAGCAGTCAAAGCCTTTTTGTATTCTGTTGTATTGTATTGTATTGTATTGTTTTGTATTGTAGTCTGGGTTGATTTTACCGCAGAACGCGAAAACAGGCCATCTATTGTTGAAGTTATGACTGTTTTTGGATATGTCTTTTCATAACTTCTGTAAGGATTCAAAGTTTCAGAAGTTACATATCCACGCTATAATTTTTCAACACTAGACGCACAAATTTTCATTTCTAATTCTTCATGAGAGAATGTTACGTGGATAATCTTTCAGAGGATGGGTAGGTTGCAGACCAGACTGAACTCAGGGTTGTCGGAACAGCAACAAGAAGATTTATTCCAAAAATGAAAGTAGTTTCCACAAAGTAAAACTCTACAAAAGCACGTAATTCGATAAGCTTACACGGCCTCCGCCAACTTCATTTAATTTGATTCACCCAAGGCGGCCTCCACCAACTTCAATGAACACTGCTTCCGTGACACTTGACTAAACACGACTAACGTCAAACTCTATTCGCTTGTGAAAACTAGTTAAAAACTTCGCTTGGACTCGTCTTCCTACATACCTACACAATAAAATTCTAGAACTTTCTAAATAGTCTTAATATACCGCTTAAGAAACGCTTACACGAGACACTAAAATAAACAAACTATAGACCACTTTCATAAATGGCTGCCGGATTAAAATTCTTTTGTTTACATATAAATTTGCCTGGGTGGCCTCGTTCTCCAGTACAAAATTCAAAAGAATACATTATCTCAAGCGAGGCCACTCGGGCAAATTTAAATTTAAACAAAAGAATATTAATCCAGCAGCCATTTATGAAAGTGGTCTATGTAATATATCAACCCCAAACCCCAATTTGGACTTCGACCAACAATATGTTCTCAAATATAACCATTAATTTTTGGAAAAACTGTACCATTGAAATTTAAATATTTACATGGAGTATGTGACCCTTGACATTAGTATATACTATAACAATGGATAGCATTGAGGGCACACTCTGATCGGCTACTCAAACTTAAAGTATCCTTTACTATTCACTTCTGAGCAAGATGCACAAGATTTTTTGTGGCCAAGAATATTGTAACTTTTGCAGGAATAAATGAATAAAATTAATACTTTTATGCTATATTATCTAACTTTTTTAGTAGATACAAAAACAACTATTCACTTCCTTGTCAGGGACTAGCACTGGATATCTACCTCGCTGTTCATAGCTTGGTAAATATGCACCTTCATGCAGCCATCTCCACTTTGGTGAAAAGTCGTTGTAACTGCATGAAATTTAGTGAAACCCTCTGCCTATCAAAAGAGAAAACTTACCAAATGCAAGTTCATACATCATCTTAACAAGATCACCACAAGGCTTTTCCCAGCTGTACACCTTGAAGNGACTGTTCACTTTGTTTGCCTTGCAGATCGGTATCAGTGCAAAATACCATCAGCTGTCGAGAAACAAACTTTGCACAAAGCAGGCTTAGGATTAAAAAAGATCAAGCTACTCTTAGATGATGATGCAAGTGCGGTGTATGAGAAGCTTGTCTCGAGTGAAAAGGACGATGTAGGTGATGTGAAGGGGTTTCCCCAATTACGTGAAGCAGGAGGATTTGATATGCTACATTGCCTACCAAATTGCCGGGATTTAACACCTCTTAAGTGTTCCTGGGCTGCCAGAGAAATAAGAAGTAATTTAGGAGGGCAATCCAAAATTTACCTGAGGCCAATCCAAAAAGATCTGTCCACTAAATCTCTCATACCACAGAATTCTTGTGAAGTAAAAGAGAAATGCCTGGCTTGCCAGAAAGAATTCCCAATGAGTGAACTCAGAACACACTCTTTTTACATGTGTACAGGTGGATTTAATAGTGGATCAGACTCAGAGGGTGACAATGGCACAACTAGTTGCATTCTGGAAGGAATATCAACTGCTGACTCTAGAAGTGAATCGTCAGTGAGTCCAGTGATGTCCCAAGCTCCACAACAAATACAGGAAGCAAACCCAGTCATAGAAGTTTCTAACTCACCTGCACCTGTACATGTACCTGAAGAGAAAGAAGATAATATTGATACTGCCGTTGGAAAAGTTGTAACCTTTTGCCAGACAAACAATGTACACAATCCCGTGGAAGTTCTCCGATGTATGCAGAAAGAAATTGTTACTGGCAGGAGATTGGAATTAGAATCTGACAGTGAAGTGTTGGAGGGGGAGACAAACTACATCAATGTAGACAGAATGAATATACTTGAAACAGCATTCGAGGAAATAGGGGCTCTGGAAAACCTTGGCCTCACTCTGGAGGTTTCTTTTTATGGGGAGGTAAGTTATTTCTTTCTGTAAGAGTTTTTGTAAACAACATATTAATGCCTGTTCGTAGTAGTCTCTCCAATTTACTATTTTAATGAACTGAAGATCGATTGTTTTATTGAAAATACCCCCTGCCCCCTAAATGAACTTTTTTTAATGCAATTGGTGAAAAAAGTGAGTAAAGAATATTTTTCTCAGTAATGTTCATTGCTTTGTATTTGAAGTGTTGATTCAAGTGGCCTCATTGTTTTGTGCTTGCCTTTGCTTTACTGCTTAAATAGCTGTGCCTTTTGTTCCTACTGTTAGCTTGTTATTTGCAGGAGTTATACAAAATACTCAAATCATGATGTTAACATGTATCTAATGTGTCACACACAAAAAATTCTCAGTGTGCACGTATTCCTCACCTGCGTCCTGATTCTATGTCAGTGTTTTAAGGTAATTCTACCACTTGACTACAATAATCACCCCTTCATTGGATTCAGATGAGAATGTTTTTCAGCAACAAGTACTAAATATCTGTTACTTCCCCAGAAAGCACGTGACTATGGAGGTCCGAGGTGAGAGTTCTTCCGGCTCACACTCACAGCTATTAAAGAAAAGTATTTTGACAATGGCATACGTGACCTTCTTGCAGATGATTACTGTATTGGAGTGATAATTGGTAAGTAATAAATCTCACACTGGTTAAATATGTAATTTTGATTACCTTTCATGTACACAACTCGCCTCGACTAGCTAGCCCATGCTATTTGCCAGTTATGTAATGTACGTCATGTCTGTAATGATTATTGATGTTGTTATGACACAAAAGATCTCCTTATAAAAGCTTCCTTAAACTGATTTCTAGGTTTAAGCATCATTCAGAATGGAAAGATCCCCCAGTTCTTTTCAGAGGATCAGCTGGTAAACATCTTTAACAGCATCCAATCATCAGCAGCTTATTGTAATTTACAGAAAGGATTGGACAAATTAGGAATATGTATGGTATGGTCCAGCTTCACATGTT